CAAGCTCGGGGCCCAGGCACAGTGCGGCCCCCCCGTCCTCCTCCCCAGGCCCTGCCGCCATGGCGGCGGCGGCGGCCGCGCAGCTGAGGGCGGCGCTCCCGCACCTGAGCGCGCAGCAGGTCCCGATGTGCGCGTTGGGCGGCAAAATGCCGGGCGAGCTTCGCCGCTTCCGAGTGCTGTGCTCGGCGTGTCGGGGCAGCGCGCCGATTTCGGGCAGACTCGGCGACTGTTTTTTGTAGCGTCGAGGACACGAGCACTCATGTTGGGGGAGCGCCCCGATTTGGAGCAGACTCGGGCGACTGTTCCTGGCAGCCTCGAGGAACTGAAACCTCGTGTTGGGGGAGCGCGCCGATGTCGGGCAGACTCGGGCGATTGTTTTTGGCAACCTCAAGGAAACGGATCCTCGTTTTGGGGGAGCGCGCCGATGTCGGGCATATATTCGGGTGGTAAGGCTTCGGGCTGCGCGCACACAGCCCCCCAGGTGGCCCCTGCTGGCCTCAACAGCCCCCCTGAGTAGCCCTGGGCGGTCTCAGCACCCTGTCGCCGCCTCTGGCGGCGCCCCTCGGGCGCCTCGCGTCCTGAATTTGGGGGGTGTTGGGGCCGTCCTGGACTACTCGGGGGGCCTATCGAGGCCAGTCGGGGCCACCTGGGGGGGCAGTCTGCGCGCAACCCGAAGCCTCACCTGCCGGGCTGGGGAGCGCGCCAGTCTCGGGCAGACTCGGGCGGCTGCTTGTGGCGACCGCGCTGCCCACCTCCGTACGCCTCGGGCACTGCGCTCCTCCTCCTCCTCCTCCTCCTCCTCCTCCTCCTCCTCCTTCTCCTCCTCGGCCGCTTCCGGCATGGTGCAGCCCCCTTTGTGCCCTCGTCGGCTGCACTCAAGAGTGACCTCTCTAGGGGGCCACGTGTGAACCCTACCCCTACCCCCCACGATTTCCGAGGGGGGGGGGTAGGGGTAGGGTTCACATGTGGCCCCCTACTCTTGCCGGAGTGACCCCTGGCACGCGCTCCCAGGGGCCGCCCGCAGCCCCCGGCCTGCGCGGATCTGGCCTGCCCGCGGCCCCCCCGGCCGCGCACCGCAGGCCACTCCTGCCCAGGGTGTCTCCCCTGCGTGCAGTCGACGTCGGCTGGGAAGCTTGCAGTCTTCATCACCGGGGCTTCTTGGACGGTTTGCCCCGGGGCCGTAGGCGACCCGAGGAGGGGAGGGCGAGGAGGAGGAGGAGGAGGAGGAGGAGGAGGGCGAGGAGGAGAAGGGCGAGGAGGAGGAGGAGGAGGAGGAGGAAGAGGAGGAGGAGGAGGACGGGTCGCCTATGCCCTTCGGAGAAACCCTCCAGGGCTTCTCGTCAGGAAAACCAGTCTGAGGAGAGCCCCGGGAGGGGCACACGCCAGCCGCAGCAGCGCCGGCATCACCAGGCGCCTGGTCAGCTGGGCTTCGGGCGCGGCCTAACCGACCCCTAGCAGACCATCCCATTGCGTGATGTCATCCTCGCCCTTCGAGTTCCCCTCCGGCCGCATACATGCTTCTTGGGGCGCGGCGAGGGGGACGTCACAGAATGGGATGGTCTGGTCGGGCCGCCACCGAGGGCCCGCAGCGAGCGTGCCCCGCCGGGGGAAGCTTGTGGTGAAGAGGTTCGGCCACTTTTCGGTAGCAAGTCACGGGAGCCTCCCATGCCATCTTGCTGGCTCTCGCGGACCGACGCTGGTCGACGCTCTGGTCGGACCGAGGCATACGGTCGAGGTCGGTTCGGGGGGAGGGTGCTCTGATGTTCTTCGTGTTGGTAGGGTGCTCTTGTGCATCCTTGGGGAGGGTACCCTCGAAGGCTTTTCAGCTTGGCCGCCGGAGGGCCTCATGCTCTTGAAGGAGGCTCTTCTGTCCCAGGCCCGCCTGTACAGTGGGGACCCATGCCAAGAAACACCCTGCTTGCCTCCAGGGTGCCCTGAGTTTCTTGGGTTTCGACGGTTTTGCTATGGAAGGCATGACGCTTCCACACCAAAAAGCCATGGGCGTCCTGGGAGTCTCAGGGTTGGGTTTCCTGTGGAAGGTTTCTTCTGGACTGGCTTCCACTGTATCACCAGAGTGCGAGAACTGAGGGCTGGGGGCCTGAGGCTTGGGCTTCTCGTGGACGGTTCCTTGTGGGCTGGTCTCCGCTGTACTTCATCGAGGCAGCCAAGTCGGGCAGGCCTTGGGGCCCTGGAGGGCCCCGAAGCCCCTGGTGCTCCCTGCGCTCGCCTCTGCCGGTCGCCGCGGGTCGGGGCCCGACCTCCCCGCGCGCAGGCTCGGGGCAACGTGGGGCTCGGGTGCGCCAGAGCTCGGGCCTGGTGACTTTTTTTTTTCCGAGCGCGCCCCGGATTTCGAGGGTCCCGTTTTCCTGGGATGCCTGCAGCGGGAGCCCGCACCGAGTTTCGTACTGGGCCTCGTGGTTTTATGGTGGCCCCCGTCAGGCCGGCCCGAGACCCCCGTGCCCGAGTCTTACGTCTCCCCGACAGGTCGACGCGGCGCTCCGCAGATCTGGAGGAGGGGTGTCAGCCGAAGCAGAACCCAGACCCCCTCGCGTGGTGACAAAATCACGACGGGCGTGTTTTTTGCGGTGTTCGGCCTCTGGGGGGCCCTTTCCTGGGCCTCGGGCTTTTTTTGTGTTTTGTTTTTTGTTTTTTTGGTTTTCTCTATTTTCGGCCTCCGGGGGCCCTTCCTGGGCCTCGAGGCCGTCCAAGAACGACTCAGGACGAAAAGCCGGTCCTGGGGAGGGTGTCCGGACCTCTGGGGGTCGACGTTTCGAAAAAAAACGACGTCGGGGGTCTGGGAAATCAGCTGCTCTGATGCGCCCGCCTTGAACTCAGCTGCTTTGATGCTCTGATGCGCATCACGCACCGTGTTCAACACGTCCATGTCAACACGCTGCGTCTTAGCTCCACTTGTTGGCCCACGTTTTGGCGGACGCATCGCGCCACACCCACTTTTTTCTGGTCTGCGTGTTGAGCTCCGTGTCAACAATCTACGTGTTGCGTGTTGCGTATCGGGGCGGTCCGAAGAACCAGCTGCATTCTCGCTGGTCGTTGACACTAGGTGTTTTCGGACATCCAGATCCCGATGTACCTCAAACGCCTGTCTACTTCAAGAACCGATCTGTGCTTGTTTGTTTGTTGTTGCTCTCGTGGCGGGCCCGAACCCAATCTGCTTTATCCGCATTCCTACTTCATGCTTCCACATACTTCTTCCGACTGGCGGATCAGCATGAACTTTCGGAGCCCCACGCGGGTTTCTCGGATCGGTGCTGGAGCCCCCTGGCGGCGCCTCCGGCGCCGCCCCTGGCGCGGTCCGCGCGCCAGGGCGGGGGGGGCCAGCTCCGCTCCGAGCCATCTGTGCAGGGCTCCGCAGGTTATGTTCATGCAGTGTTTCATGCTCTTGTCAAGAGGCCCTCGTTGCGCTCACCACTCCAACTCAACCGTTCTGCCTGCCCTCTTTCTGGGCATCCCGCCGTCTGGAGACTTGTCCGAGCGGACCATGCTTGCCCCTTTCGGGCTTCGAGGCCCTCACTGATCGATCTGGCTGACAGGTCACGGCAAAGGGTGCCGAGCTTGTCTGACGACATCGCGTCTTTCCGCGACGTCGGATGTCTGGCCCCCCCCACCACTTCTCTCCGACCAGGGGATGGGGGAGGATCAGGCAGGTAGACTCGGACTGGTGGTCGCAACGAGGGGCTCCCAGGAGATCCGAACCAGGCGTTCCTCGACCTCTGGGGGAAGAACACGCCCCCAGCCGCCCACGACGGGGCGCGACACCGCGGGGCCGCTCCCGATCTGCGGAGAGACCCCGAGGGCTGGTTCCGGTTCTACGACCGGGACAACAACGGCCTGCAGCAGCACGAAGTGGTCGCTGGCCTGGCCGAGACGCTGCCCGACACCGACCGCGCCGCGCTCCGCGAGCTGGTGGGCACGCTGTGGGCCCTGTTCGACACCGACGGGTCGGGCTCCATCAGCATGCGGGAGTTCAACAAGAGAGACGGGCTCCGGGAGGCGCTGCTGGCGCAGCTCGGCGACTCGGTGGCGCCAGCGCCCTCCAGGCCCTCGTCGGGGGCAGCGTGAGGGGGGGATCTGGGCTCGGGGCAAATCCGGCCTCCGGCGGCCGTTCGGGACGATTCAGGTATCCTCCTTCTCCTCCTCCTCCTTCTTCTCCTTCTCAGGAGGAGGAGGAGGAGGAGGAGGAGGAGGAGGAGGGGGAGGAGGAGGAGGAGGAGGAGGAGGAGGAGGAGGAGGAGGAGGGGGGATGCTGCATCGACCCCCACTCGCCCACCGATCGCCGACAGGAGCCCGATAGCCCACCCCACCTGGAACCGCGCGGTGCCGTTCTCGAAGGCCTATACCACCGATCTATCGGCGATGCATCGCCGATCCTGCAGAGATCGGCTATCTACATAGAGCTCCCCTGAGCACTTACGAACCACCCCGCCGATCTCAGTAGGTCGATGCGCCCGCCCCCCTGAGGCAGCCCCCTGGTAGTTTGCGGGTCATCGCTCGGGCCTCCGGCGGCCGTTCGGGACGACCGGGGCAGCCCCGGACGCCCCTCGGCGAGAGCCTCGAAGCCGGAAGCCTCGAACCCGAGCCAGCCCCCCCCTCATCGTTGCCCCTCCCCTCGGGCGGCTACCCAGCGCCGGCTGCGGGCCACGGGCCCTCGCGGCCCGCGGCGCAGGCCCCGAGGCCGACCGCCGCGCCCGCCGCCGGGCCGCAGGAGCTCAGGAGGGGAAAAGGCACACAGACACAATGAATCTTCGATTCCCCAGAAAATATGGGAGGATATATGGGAATTGGGGGGAAGACAGAAACCAAGAAAATATGAGACATTTATGGGGAATCTCTTCCTTTGTGTGTATTTATTTGTGTGTCCTTGGGCCCCTGCAGGAGCAGCTGCAGGAGCTCTTCCCGAGTCTGCCGCCCGCGCGCATCCGGGAGGCGCTCGCGCGCTGCCGCGGCGACAAGGCTGCCGCGGCAGACTGGCTGGCCAGGACTCGGAGGAGGAGGAGGAGGAGGGGGAGGGGGAGGAGGAGGAGGAGGAGGAGGAGAGGAGGAGGAGGAGGAGGAGGAGGAGGAGGAGGAGGAGGGGGAGGAGGAGGAGGAGGGAGGAGGAGGAGGAGGAGGAGGAGGAGGAGGAGGAGGAGGGGGAGGAGGGGGAGGAGGAGGAGGAGGAGGAGGAGGAGGAGGAGGAGGAGGAGGAGGAGCAGGCGGAGGAGGCCTGGTGTAAACTCTAGAGTCAGCAACGATGTTGGAGTAAACCTTCCCTCCAAGCTCCCTCTTCACAGGCCCCTGCAACGGTTCGTTTCTATGGATGGAACTGCCTGGTTGGAAGACACCCGTTTGAAGACCCTGAAGCATGCCAAAGCATCAAAGCATTGTTCTCGGGATTGCAAAGCAACGGATCAACTTGACTGTTGCGTCTTGACGATTTTGAATCGTGCCAGAACGCCAATCCTAGGACTTCAACACAGAGAACCAACGTAATTGTTGCACCCGCAAAATCCAGAATCCTTCCAAAACACCATGTCTGCTACGCTGATGATGGGAATCCGTGAAACGATTGCAATTTTTTAAAAAGGAATTTGCGCGGCGCTAAGGCGAGAGCCACATTTTGAAAAGGAATTGTTAATCAATGTATGGAACTCGTGCAATTTTTCAAACGAATATGCGCCGCGCTAAGGCGATAGCGACTTTTTGAAAACCACCCGCCCTCAATCCGTCAAACTTTTTTTAATCGGAGGTTGGGGGGTGAGATCGAAGTGGAACGGAGAGCCCCCCACCAGGATGTCGGTTTCGGTTTCGTGTTCGTGCGTGCCGTGCGTGCGGGCGAGGTGAAGCTGCGTGGGCGGGCGAGAGGAAAGTCTCCTGTGGCTGAGGCGCGGCCGGACCAAATGATTCTCCCTCCGGCAAGCGGTGGCCCGCGGTGTCCCGCCGGTGTCCTGCTGGTGTCCCATTAATGCTGGGCCCCTGCCGGACCAAATGATTCTCCCTCCGGCAAGCGGTGGCCCGCGGCGTCCCGCTGGTGTCCCGCCGGTGTCCCGCCGGTGTCCCGGTGTCCCGCTGGTGCGGAAACGATAGTGAGACCGATGACGAAATCGATTGTGAGATCGATAGTGAGGTCGATAGTGAGACCGATAGTGAGATCGATCGTGAGATCGATAGTGAGATCGATAGTGAGATGAATAGTGATATCGATTGTGAGATCGAGTGATATCGATAGGGAGATCGATCGTGGGATCGATAGCGAGATCCAGAGTGAGATCGAGAGTGAGATCGATCGAGTGAGATCGATAGTGAGATCGATCGAGTGAGATCGATAGTGGGATCGATGGTCCCAAGAGCAAGCGGCAACGCAACAATCACCACTGTTGCCCATTGCTGGCCCCCCTCCCCCCCAACCTCCTTACCACCCGCAGGGTGGTCGTATAGGTATAAAAAAGGAATGATGTGCGCCGCGCTAACGCGAGAGCCACATTTTGAAAACGACCCGTCCTCAATCCGTGAAGCTCTTGCAATTTGTTATAACGAGTGTGCGCCGCGCTCAGGCGATAGCCACATTTTGAAAACCACCCGCAATCCATCTGTGAAGCTCTTGCAAATGTTTAAAACGAAAGTGCACTGCGCTCAGGCGACAGCCACATTTTGAAAACGGCCCGCCTTCAGTCCGTGAAACTCTTGCGATTTTTTCAAACGAATGTGCGCCGCGCTAAGGCGAGAGCCACATTTTGAAAACAACCCGCCCTCAATCCGTCAAACTCTTGTTTTTTCCAAGAACTGTGCGCGGCGCTAAGGCGAGAGCCACATTTTGAAAATCACCCGTCCTCAGTCCGTGAAGCTCTTGATATTTGTTCAAACGAATGTGCGCCGCGCTCAGGCGACAGCCACACTTTGAAAACCACCCGCCCTCCACTTGTGAAGCTCTTGCAAATGTTTAAAACGAATGTACGCGCGCTCAGGCGACAGCCATCTTTTGAAAACCACACGCCCTCAATCCGTGAAACTCTGGCACATTTTCTTAAAAACATGTGCGCGGCGCTAAGGCAAGAGCCACATGTTGAAAACCACCCGCCCTCCATCTGTGAAGCTCAGGCGAAACGCCCGGCCCGCCCTAAAAACTGGCCTCGGGGTGCGACACGGAGAAGTTATTTATAAGGACAAGACGTTGAAGAGGAGGTGGAGGAGGAGGAGGAGAAGGAGGAGCAGGAGGAGGAGCAGGAGGAGCAGGAGGAGGAGGAGGAAGAGGAGGAGAAGGAGGAGGAGGAGGAGGCTAAGGAGGAGGAGGAGGAGGAGGCGGGGAGGAGGAGGAGAGGAGGGAGGGGGAGGAGGAGGAGGAGGAGGAGTAGGAGGAGGAGGAGGAGGAGGAGAAGGAAGGGGAGCAGGAGGAGTAGGAGGCGGAGGAGGAGCAGGCGGAGGAGGAGGAGGAGAGAGGAGGAGGAGGAGGAGGAGGAGGAGGAGGAGGGAGAAGCGGCGTCGAAGGAGGAGGAGGAGGTGGCGGAGGAGGAGGATGAGTAGGAGGGGGAGGCGGAGGAGGTGCAGGATTGCTTGCTGGCCCCGAGCGACCGCGTCGACTGTGGTCCAGTGCGAGCAGACGCTTGCTTCTGCTGGAACGGGGAGCCGGCCAAACCAATGGACCTGGCCCCCGTCCAGCGCCACTCGGAAGTACGAGCACGCACCAGATGGGCGGGACAGGGGTGCGAGGGGCCGTTGCAAACGGCCCACACATCCGCGCTGGCTGGTACATTCGGCCTGCCACCGGTGCAGGAGAGTGCCGCGATCGGGCCACAGCCGCTGGTAAACTCGGCCAACCACTCGTGAATAGAGAGCCCAGTCTACCCCGCCCCTGCGCCAGGGCGGCAGCACACGGCTACGCGCGGCACCTTGCGCAGCGCGCGCCACACCCGCGCGGCACCGCACAAAGCCCAGGGGAGGCCAGGAAGAGCAGCTGCGAACTGGAGCCACCGACCGAGCGAGCACGGAGGGCGGGCCAGCCGAAACACTCCGCTGCCCGAGCAGGTCACAGGCAAGAAGCTACGGATTGCAACGCAATCGCGAAGCCACCAAGGGGGCAATCGAAAGCCAGGTGAATCCTCCTTCCCCGAAGTCCTACGGGTTTCGGGGCCATGGGGAGGAGGAGGAGGAGGAGGAGGAGGAGGAGGAGGAGGAGGAGAGGAGGAGGTGGAGGAGGAGGACGAACGCTACGAGCAGGGGCCTGAGCCGACGGACGCAGACCCTGCACCGCAGTCCACCATCAAAGCCCTACCCGCAGACGACAGGCGGCTTGGCCCGAGGATCAAGCAGACCGTACAGCCAGTATCCACCACGTCGCCCCCCAAACCGATCTCCACCCCCCACACGTGAGGGAAAGCACTCTCAGAACGACGCAGTCACGGGGCCAACCGTTCACATTCCCTATAAGCAACTCCACCACAGGGGGCAACCAGGCCCATGGCCACCGCAGGCATGACTACCGTGTACGAGGGAGAGCAGACGCCCTGTGATGAGCCACCTCTCGGCATTCCCATGGGGGCCGCGACAACCGACATCCAACACGACGCGGTCGGCAGGCTAGTCGACGCCATCAGCAACACCCGCTACGACCTGAAGGTCCCGCAATTCAATCTACGCTTTCATAAGATCATCAGGTCTGCATCGACAGCATCAACAATCCAGAGACGGTGTACGCCCACATTTCAGACCCTCATCGCGTTGACCGCCTCGAGCACGACCAGGTCGTGCACGACTTCAGCGAAGCTTGACGCAACAGCTTTGGTGAGCCAACCGGTGACCGTGCCCCACCCTTCAACATGACGGCCAAACATACGGTGCTAGTGCGCTTCATTATCCACAAGCTGGTTGCAGCATCTCCGCGTACCCAGTGGCTAAGGATCGTGAAGATCTGCCTACACCGTACCCCGCCCGTCGTGACTGCGACGATATCTACAGCTACGTCAAGCTCGACCTGCGCTACAACCCGGCGAGGACACCAATGCCGTTCTGTACTTCTTCTCATCAGAAGGACATCGCCAAGGTCACGATCTATTGGACGAGCTACCTACTGCAATACAATGGCGCCAGCAGCCCAATCGCCCCCACAGCAGAACCGACGAACCAAGAACCCGACGACCACAACCTATCACCAGGCCCTACGAGTGGCCCCAGCCCCCATGGCACCACGACAGGCCCAACGAGCTATAGCATCGACACACCAGCGCAAAACCACACAGACCACATCGACTAGAAGGGACCCGCCACCACGTTAGCCACCCACAGTAGCCACGACATGATGCCGACCGCCGACCGGTTTCACGCGGGGACTGGCCCTCACAATTGGCAGCAGGGTTTTTAATCAGCATCAGCGGCAGCTCTTACTGGCACAGTACAACTTCCCGATACCCCCGCTGGAGCGCATGCCACCGCCACGACCCGCCACAATTCAAGTCATCATAACGGACAAAGATACGCCCAGCAGCGAGGTCTACATACTGTGTGGCACGAGGTGCCCAGTACACTGCGCTCCGGCTTACAGCCATCCAGGACGAGAGCGAGGAGGAGCACTCCCTGGTACGCCAACATGGACTACACCAGGGCGGAAGCTGACGCCCCGACCAGCAACCAGCGACCGCACCCACGCAATCATAGTTGGAATCGGAAGCGAAGAACCCCACAGCGAGTACGCCGTCAGCGTGATCGCTGACAGCACGACGCCCACCCCAGTGTGTGCTCTACCCTGCCCTGAGCAGCGTGGCACCTCCTACCTTGTCTCCTCCTAGCAACCCAGCGGCTAAGAGGTGAACGCCACCTTCATTTCGAGACGGGGCCTGCCATACAGAGGCCCGTCAGTCCGTCACCTCCTCTCCCACACACTAATTTTGCTACCAGTGACCGCAGACTCTGACCCATTTTGGCGCAGGCAGAGTCTCTCGTCACCAGCTGTCTTAAGCCTTACACCTGAGCTCGGCACTACCTTTTTTACCCAGCCGCCGCACTCACT